GACACGTCCCACTGGAAGGAGACCAAGGGAAAGACCCAGGACACTCTGCAGGGACTGTTTCTCAGCTGGCCTGGGAACACCTTGAGATTCCCCTGGAGGAGCTGGCCCAAGTGGCTGGGGAGAGGGAAGTCTGGGCCTCCCTACTTAGGCTGCTATCCCAGTGACCTGACCCAGGATAAGTGGTAGAAAATGGATGGATAGATGGATGATAGATGGTTGGAATTGAACACTTCTTGGTTTTTATCAGTGTTTTAGAAGTCTGCTAGCTCTTCCTAGCATTAGCTTAGCATGGCTTCTAGTTCTTTTCTGGCTTCTGTTCTCACTTTTTCTGTGTGTCAGATATTCAGCTATTCCTCTGCCTCCTTTAGCGATATGGTAGGTGTATTAAATATAGTATTATGCTAGTTTTGGAGGAGAGGCTGTCTGATTTGGAAGCTCGGCTCTGCACTGTTAAAAAAAACTACAGCTAGCCAGGCCCCCTTAGGCAGCACAGAGCCACAGAGACTAACTCCCATTAGCAGTTAGCAACCCTGAGCAGCCGGAACCCCAGGTCTGTTGGGTGATGGTCCGGAGTAAACGTACTGCTAAGGATAAGCCCCAAGTTCACAATCAACACGTGCACGTTTCATAATATTTTTCCTTGCTCAGTCACACACCCACTGAGAAGCAGACTCTGGACATTGGCAGCTCTATAGTCCGAAATGTGGTTTTAGGGACTCCAGCGACCATAGTTAAATGCATTTCAGGGATCAGAATGTGTGACATTGAATCATATATGAAACTGCTGGCTAAAGCTAAGGCTAAATACAGTAAGATTGTTATTCACGTTGGCAGTAATGTTGGTTTGGTGTGTAACTTTGATAAAACCATGTCGGACTCCATAGTGTTCTCTGGCCCCCTCCCGAACCTGACCAGCGATGACGTGCTTAGTCATATGTTGTCGGTCAACCTCTGAGTGTCTAGGTGGAGTTCTGAAAACAACATAGGCTGCATAGATAACTAGAGTTCTTTTTGGGGAAACCTGATCTGATGCGGGAAGATTGCATCCATTCCACTTTGAATGGAGCTGCTCTTCTTTCTAGTAATTTGTCCAATTTTGTTAGTCCTCCAAATTATTGACAACCCAGGGTCCAGACCAGGAAACAGAGTTGTTGTCTTACACACTTCTCTGCTGCTTCTATTCTGTTACCCACCCAAACCCCAATTGAAACAGTGTCAAACAGTTCAAATGAAATAAACCAAATATCAGCTCTAGAAAAATAAATTCTTCATATCTTTTTTTGTTTTAATAAACAGTTACTTTACCAGAAAAAAAAAAAAATCATTCAATGTGGATTATTTAACATCAAATCTCTTTCCTAATGATTTGACAACTGATCATCATATTCATTCTGTCTGACATAAACCTGGCTAAAACAGGAAGATTTTGTTAGTATAAATTAATTCACTCCTGCTAATTATTTAAAATTTCATGTTCCTAGAACAACAGGTTGAGGTAGAGTAGCTGCCATCTTTCAGTCAGAATTACTGATTAATGCTAAACCAATTGTTAGTCATAATTCTTTTGAGTCGTCGTCCTTCAAAACAGTGTGATCGTGGACGAGTCTTTCATATCCAAAATGGAACTCAGAAAAGCCACTTTTACTTCTTGTTATATATCGTCTACCAGGTCCTCTCAGTTTTTGTTTGAATTCTAAGATTTATTTTTTTTGTCTAACCTATTATTGAATACTTCATACTTGAAAGTCATAATAATGAGGGATTTCAATATTCATGTAGATGTTGAAAGTGATAACTTAAGCATAGCCTTTAATAATTTAATAGTCAATTGCTTTTACCCTAAATGTCCACACATCTACTCATTCTCGTCATCAAACTCTTGATCTGGTTCTGACATATGGCATAGAGATTAAGGACTTAATAATACATCCTCACAATCCTGTTCTATCTGACCTTTTTTTTAATAATCTTTGAGTTTACATTAACTGACTACGCAGCCACTGAGAGTAAATTTCATTATAGTAGGTGTTTTTCAGAATGCTGCAACTAGAATCTCTTCCATTGTTCTTTTCCTCTGTCTTGCAGAGTAATGCCATAGAGAGCAGTGACTTACTGGATGATTTTGTTGGTAATTTTACAACTTCAGTGCAAACTTCACTTGATAAAACTGCTCTGAAAGTGATCAATCAGAAGAAGCTGGCTTTTAACCCCCACATTAAAAAAGTTACCAGGACTGCTTTCCTCCACTTGTGTCATATCACTAAAGGCTCACACGGACCTCCGTCCACGGAGGTCCGTGCGTATCGGATTAGACTCGAAGTGGATGCCCTCAAGCCATATCCGTGCAAAACTCAATTTTTACGACTGCGTAAGCGTACTCGGTGTCGCACAATAAACTGCCCGGAGACGGACTGTTTTGTATGTGACACCAATGTATTAAATTCCCCTTCTTCATCCCTGATCTGGTTTAATGGCCTTTTCTTTGTTGTTTTTTTCCCAAGAGGCAAGCGATCTCTTCCTCCTCATTCATTGACGCCATGACTGAAATAGTGAAAAATTAAGGAATTTATCACGAGTGAATTAAAATCAGTCCCAGCATGGCTGTGGGAGGGTCTGGAGATTTCCTGGTGGACCAGTCTGATGTGTGGGCTGCAGGACCAGCGCTCCCTGTTTTTTTTTTTTTTTTTTTTTTGTTTAGAACTTTTTATTAACAACATATAAACACAGAACACCACTGCTGCTTGCTGCCAGCTCTCGTTTTTTGGCGACCTGTCAATCAATCCAGTAGGCGTGTCAGCACAGGACCAGTCGGCGAACTCAATTTGTCCCGAAGGTAAACGTCCCTTGCCTGCAGAGCTGGGCTGCAGCAGGTCAAGGTGTACATTCGAGTATGACATCTCAACCGTCTGTGGACAGTGCACATAGTGTCCGCGCAGCTCACAGAATGCCCCAGTATGTGGGAGCCTTAAGGTTAGAAACATCTTGTCCGAAATTGATGCAGAAAAACTGGTCAATGCATTTATTGTGTCTAGGCTGGATTATTATAATTGTTTATTATCTGGGTAAACTTCTTTAAAAAGTCTTCAGCTGATCCAAAACACTGCTGCCAAGACTTTTAAAGAGAGTTGGTAGAATAGGTCATATTTCTTCAATTTTAGCTTATCTCCATTGGCTCCCTGTCAGATTCAGAATATAATTCAAAATCTTACTTTTAACCTACAAAGCTCTCAACAACCTAACTACATCTTATAAAACATATCTTATTATTCCATACTTTCCTAACAGAGCACTTTGCTCTCGTACTGCAGGTTTACTACTGGTTCCTAGTCTCCAAAAGCAGAATGGGAGGAAGTTTTTTCAGTTATCAGGCTCCTCTCTTGTGGAACCAACTTCCAGTTTCAGTTTTTTGGATCCATCCAGTGGTTCATGAGATATTTTGCTAACTGGCAGATGAGGTTGATGTCAAAAGTTATTGCCAATGTTTTAGGTAAAAACAGAGAATGCACTGTGTGTGTAGTGCTCCAAGTATTTATTGGAGATTTTGCTCAGCTACATCAAACTTTAGCCTCATATCTGCAGAACTGATTGAGTTATATCCATTTTGTGAATTGTAAGTTGGCTGTGGAAGCCATCTTGAACTGGATTAACTAAAAGAAAGTTGTGAAATTTTGCTAAAGACAAAGTTTGACAGTTAAAAGCAAAGTTACAGATTTTGCTCAAATAGTGCCTAAAGTTTGTGAGCAAATAAAAAATGTACTATCAAATCAATAAGAGCCAAGTTCTGTAATAAAAAAAGTAACAGTTCATATAACATTTATTTTCTTTCCATTCTATACAATGGAAATACTCACGTATATAAGGAGTAGGAATATAGAAATGTGTTCGAATACATGAAATAAGAGGAATCAAAAAGACAAAAGCTTGTTTTTTGGATAACACATCAAATGACTATTTCACAGACTGATAATGTGTTGTAAGATGCACAGTTTCCAACCAGAGAAATCACACAAAACCAGCAAATAGATGAAAATTACTTAAACCAAAAAGACAGCTAACAAGAAATCAGTGGACTTTGTATTGGATTTCTCATCCGTTGTTTAGTCACTCATTTGTGTTTCTTTCTTGTTTATCAGATAATTAAATTGTGTTCAGATTTTAACACAAGACAAGCATTATATGTGTGGCAAAGTTCTAACAGATTTATTTTTCTTGCTGGAAAAAAACAAACAACCTTGAAATTATGAAATTACAGTGAGGAGTTTGTCTAAATGTCTGGAAGGAGATCTCCTGAAATCATGTGTGGCACATAATCCACCACCGCATAAGCTTTGCACGATTTCACTTACATTTTGCAACGTATAATTTTTAATAAGAACTTTACTGTTGTCAATTTTAACAAGCAGCACAGTGGGAGGGAAACACTGACTTCTGTGGAGTCAACCTCATAAACAGTGAGGGACACAAGATGAATTTACTTTACCCGCTGTCCTGTTAACACATCATCATGTGGATTAATTAACTTAATAAAACTAATAATAATGAAAGTGACGGTTTCTAAATCTTCAGGTAAGCATTCCTGTAAAAAATAACACATATTAAAAAGTAAACAAAACATCTATACGTCTATAATCCAACCTGGACCAACAGAGGAGCCTCCCTCAGAATAAATGATGATTGGTGAATGCTCATTTGCATGCTGAACGCAGTGGATATTTATTTAAATTTAATTTCGTTCCCGCACACGGTGCTCTGCAGGCTTTTGTGCCAAAGTCATATTAACCCCTTGACTAGTTAATATGCAGCGCACGACGTTACACGCGTGTCATGAATATTCATATCCATAGCATGTTTTCTCTTTCCTCTCTCCTCCCATCCTTCCTGGAACGTAACTGCGCGCGCCGTTGGAAGCATCCCGGAAGTGCCTTCCAGGCCAGCGTGCTGAAAGTTGTTTTCTTTCCCCAACAACACGAAGGCACCGCGTCTGGCTGCTGCTGAGGGTTCGGCAGACACAACGATGACAGAAAAGACTCGGCTGCCGAGCAGAGAGCAAGCTCTGAAAGGAAGACAGGAGAAAATGGTCGTGGCAGGTAAATAAGGACGCCATAAAAGTTGGGAGGCGCTCGAGTTGTCGTCACGAGGCGACGCCTGCCAGATTCATTTATACAT